GGTTAGCCCAACCTCATTCCCTTTACTAACAAACCCGATGGCATCGTTTATACTCCATCTTATCACGTCAAAAGGATGTTTGCTAACAACCATGGCGATGCTGTTGTCCCCGTTACAGCTGATGCAGAGCTCAACCCTGGTGAGTTCAGTTCGCTCACTACTCTCAAGCCTTTGATAGCAACTGACCGCGAAATTCTTGTTTAACTAGTCTGGTGGGCAGCGAGCATGAAAGGAGAGGGCCAAGTAATCGTAAAGCTCGCCAACTATGCTTCCAACTCGACCGAGATTCGCATACAAATCCCTGGAAAGGCAGACGTTAAAGGATCATTTACCTCAATCACTGCCAGTCCTGATGATGCTAACTCGGTCGAAAACCCCACGCTCGTTCCTGCGCCCGCTGTGCTGGAAGTTTCTGGAGACCCTCACGGTGTTTTTACAATCGAACTAGGGCAGTTCGGCGTTGGTGTACTCGCAGCCTGAGGTAGATTTACGTCAACGTAAACCACTTAGGAAGGACCATTGCGGTGATCTTGATGCAACAAGCGCGACCGTTGGTGATTAAGCTCATAGCGTCGGTTAAGCCATCATACGACGGTCTGAACTTCGATTCATTCTAAGATAGTTACGGATATGGTTAAATATTGTCCATAGACTGTCTTGGCCTATTATTTCATACAACAGCCCTTGCAAAATCTTTCCCAGGAGGTGTTGCGACGTGAAAGTGGCCAGTCAGTTAGAACGATTACATGGGTAGCTGATTTCAATCTTACCGACGGTCTAATTATCAATCCGTCCTGCAACGCCCAGTTCTGCCACCTGCTTTGTTAATCGTCATGCGGCTGAGGTGTGTGGGCGGGGAATGTCAAGTTTCAGCTCCATCTACGCTCTTGTGGGGGAATCATACGGACGAAGTTCGACCGAAGGCTACGCCTATTAAATTGAATTCTAAGCGTCCTAAAAATACTTGGTCAGAAGTCCAGCACGACGGCAAACCAACCCGCCAAATTCAAGTTTTCTTTTGGGCTTCCACGACTGGACTTTCATTCTTTCTCTACATCACGTGTCATCTGATACGACGAATCTCAACATGGTGAACATCGCCATTGCCGGAGGAACTGGCGGCGTTGGGCGTAGCATTGTGGATGCACTCAAAAATGATCCAAGACACACCACCATCATCCTCTCTCGTACGGTACGCCATGATCGTGCTTCCAAGAAGGCTTTTACCTTTCATAAATCCGTTTGTGCTTACAATAGTCATTCGTAAACAGGAAGCGGCAGAAGATAAAGCTGGAGTCCCTGTTCTGGTGGTTGATTACGACGACAGAACGTCCCTGCAGACGACCTTGGAAACCCACGAGATCCATACCGTGATATCAGCTCTAGCCCTCCACATCATTGGGGTTGGCCAGGCTCAAATCAACCTCATTCAAGCAGCCGACAAGAGCAATTTTACGCAGCGTTTCATTAGTAGCAGCTGGGCAGTTAAACCGTCGACTCAGTGAGTGAATTCTAGTCGCTGCATGCTTGTTTGAAAAGTATGAACCTACTTAACCAGAGTCTTTGTAGGTATTTGAGTCTTTTGCCACACGGGTTCCAGCACATTGCTTCTTACAGCGAGCTGGAAAACTCACGACTTGAATGGACAGCATTCAATTGCGGGTGGTTCCTCGACTATTACGCAATGCCCCATGTCGAGACCTACATTCCGCAAACAACCTTTGTTGTTGACATGGCCAACAGGCAGGCATCCATACCTGGAGATGGAAAACAAAAAATGACATTTACCTATACCAAAGACGTCGCCAGATTCGTCGTGGAAGCTCTCGATCTAGCCACATGGGAGCAAGACACATATCTCATTGGCGACGAAATGACCTGGGAAGAATTCATTGCAATTGCCGAAGAGGCTCGTGGAGGTGAAATCTAGTTCCCTAAAGTACATGCTGATCGACTTACTAATACTTTGATTGTTGATAGGGGAGAAGTTCCATGTCACATACGATAGCGTTCAGAAGCTCCAATCTGGCGAGATCACGGAGCTGCCAGGCCAGGTTGCTGCATACTCGTACTTCCCGAAACAGTGGGCTCAACGGCTATTCTCCACCTTTGGTTTCTGGGTCACTGAAGGCCTCTTCGATTTCCCAAAGGATAGAGCCCTGAATCAGGTATTCCCACACCTAAAGGTTACTGGAGTGAGGGAAATGCTTCAAAAGTCATGGGAAGGTCGATAGTGTCTCGGAAATGGCGTCGCAATGTTACCAAGGCCGCATCTCCAACTGTCTTTTCCCTCAACGTAGCTCAAAATTTATCAGTGCTCCACATTCATCACTGAGAATGGCCCAATCTCAAATGGAGTTCCTAGGATCGACGCATGCACCTCCCTGAATGAAGTGAACGTTTCATCGAAATACAGTAGATACCTCAATCGACTATGAGCTGTTGGTTCATGAAAACCGTGTGACTAGCTAAAAGGCTCGTCTACTTGATCAATTTCTCTCAAGTACATGTAATTATCAAGGTAGCAAGGTGGGGTGCCGGAGACATTGTCCCAGGTCGCCATCGCAGAACCCACGTTTTCAGATAAGGACATGTTGCTCATGTGTCGTTCTTCATCTTTGTTTGCTCTCGTATCGCGAGGGGGGCTGGAACCATTTGCATTACCGTAGTAATCAGGGACCTAATAAGTCCGGGACTAAACCTGGTCAGGTTGATATTGTATGGCTGATGGAATGGGAGTCTGGTATTCTAGGAAGCGCCATTGACAGTGGGGAGCATAGGCAAATTGTTTCAGTTGGCACAATCCCATAGGTCGCATCGTTAGTTTCCTAATTTGCATTTCATTTGCGTGGGCGTAAAGTTAGAGCTGACTGGCTTGAATTTCCCTCTGGATGAGATATGCGCACGACTAACATATTTCTTTCATCCTGTCAGTCCTCCGCTTCGGGCCCCGCGTCCGACGGTCAAATGTGACCAGGCGTGATTAATGATCATACCCCCGCTCGCCTTTGCCAAAGTCTTCCAATCCAAGGATCATTATCCCCATACCATAGCGCCCGAGTTGAAAGCGGCATTAACATTGCTCCGAGCCTAATTGCTATGGGCCTGAGTGGGGGTTCTTAGTACCAAGGTCGTCTTTCCTCGGTGGCCAAGTTGTTGTTGTTCGCCATTTGGTAACAGTTTTTGAAGATCAGCATGGATGGTGATTAGTTCCGACTGTATGGTTTGACTACCGATATAAGGTTGTGCGTTGAACGGACGAATGAACTTTGATTTTCTTTCCCTGTACTCGTAGTCTTTCTGTCAACTTGATAACAATTACGACCGCAGAACATGTGGCCACTACTGCCCACCTTCTTGACTTTTTTTCAGTATATCGTGGCCTTCGATACGACACCTAGAGTAACAATGGCTCCCTCAGAAAAGTTCAATTTTCACGTTCCTGACTCCAGGATCGAAGATTTCGCATCGCTCCTCTCTGCTTCAAAGATCGGTTCCGAAACCTGGTACAACAAACACAACAATAAGGACTTTGGAACTACCAGGAACTGGCTCGCTGAAGCAAAAGATGCGTGGCTTGAGCTTGACTGGCGAAAGCAAGAAGACCGTATTAACAGCTTCCCCAACTTCAACATCACCATTAATGACGTCGATGCTGGACCGACAAACATCCATTTCGTTGGTCTCTACTCCAAGAGAAGCGATGCCTTACCGCTACTCTTTCTGCATGGGTGGCCCGGATCTTTTCTCGAGTTTCTTCCGTTGCTCGACATTTTGAAAAGCAAATATACTCCAGAGACTCTTCCTTACCATGTCATTGTTCCCTCTCTGCCGAACTATGGACTTTCCGGTGGGCCAATCGATATTGAACTCACGCTTGAAACAGCGGCGAGGCTGATGAACGAGCTTATGATCACTCTTGGCTTCGACTCAGGCTATGTTGCCCAGGGCGGTGACATCGGCAGCTTCCTCGCCAGAATTCTGTCAGCGAATCACCCACAGTGCAAAGCCTTCCACAGTAAGTAATGTTGACTCCATACTTTCAGTGGGTGTTCAGATTTGTACTAACAGTCAGGCAGTCAATATGCTTGCTCCATCATCCCAGGATGAGCTTCTTACTACGGTCAACATCACCGAAGCTGAGGCACAGCACGTACAGCGAATGCTGAACTTTAGCGCTACCGGGTCGTCATATATTCTGGAACACGGTCTAAGACCCTCGACGATTGGCCTCGTCCTATCATCAAGCCCACTTGCCATGTTGGCCTGGTAAGCTCCATGTCACGGCTTGGCTTGCAAGATACTGTCGTTGGCTAACATTATCTAGGATTGGCGAGAAGTTCCTTGAGTGGCCTGATTCCCGTTATCCACTTTCTCTTGACACAATTCTCACTATGGTGAGCTTTTACTGGTACACAGACACTTTCCCAAGAAGCATGTATCCCTATCGTGCTCTCGCGGGCGCAGCAGCAGCAAATGTCCTTTTTTCTGTTTCGACGTCTAAAGAAAAGCCATTTGGCTATTCGGGTTTTCCAGCAGAGAACATTCTCTTGCCGAAAGCGTGGGCTGAGAAGGCCTATCCAAATCTTGTGTTTTACAAGCGCAATGACAAGGTATGCCCGACTCCATCAATACCTCTTGTGTTCATGTTGTACATCTAACTTTTAAACTTACACAGGGGGGGCATTTTGCGGCATTAGAGCAGCCCAGCATCTTCTTGCAGAATATTGAAGAGTTTCTAGCGGTTGCTCGACCACTGATCGGGCTTTGATGGTTTGGCGTGCAGGTCTGTGAGGTCGTCCACTTATGGGCGTGCTTGATCAGAGGATTGAACTACGAATTATCTCGTGTTAGTGATACGCCTCATCACAGTGGCACAGTTCATTCTGGGTCACCAATGCCTTCCGAAAGTCAAAATATTGATGGAATTTGAACCTATGCTAGATTGTCTGTCCTTGTTGTTCCAATTTGATGTCTTCAAACTCGCTATCCTGGCGGGACTATACAACTGCGATTCCCGTAATGTCACCCAACTCGGAAAATAATACAGTCTTCTTGTACGTTTTCGTATCAACAGAGTAGACGCCGCCGGCAAGGTCTGTCACGTAAGCTAGCCCATTCCGCTGGTCCAACGATAGACCAATGGTTTCGTGTAGTCGTATTGCCAGAGTTTCCTGTTTCTCGCCATCAGGCATCATGGCTCGATTAAGTGTATTACCAGCAGGAGGATCTCCCCGATCTGTCCAATATAGCGCGCCACTTTCCTCGTCGATGTCGAGATCAATTGGTTCGGGAAGCTCGCCGATCACCATCTCGATTTGATGGAGTCGGTCTTCGAAAGAGGCACGTATAGGTGCGCGGAAGATCCGCCCTTGGTTGCCCTTGGATGGTCCTTTCTGTGTCCAATAGAAGACGTTTTGCTGTTCGTCTACAGCAATGCCAACGCACCACTTTCTTTGATCCACCCTCTCTTCATCGGTGTTGCCGGTTGAGATGAGGACCTCGACATCAGACCCATCGAAGTTGGACCGCATGACCTTCATACCCTCCCGGTCGCACCAGTACAGCTTCATGCTCTGCTTGGCGATAGTGATTTGCTTCGGCGTGAAGACACCAACGGTACCTGCTGACACAATGATTTGTCGATTTGAACCATCCAAATTGGCGCGCTCGATTGAGCCGTCGTTGGACTTCAAGCTAGATCCCATGTTGGTCCAGTACATATGACCTTTGGCATGATCAATCACAATCCCGTCGGGCAGAGTTACCATGTTGTCGACTACTGTTCGAAGGTCGCTTCCGTCTGTTAGACATGATAAGATGCGCCCCCGGCGACTCTGGGGAGGGTGAGATAGGTCGGTGTCGAGGATGTAGAGGCGTTGTTGGATTTGAGAGCCCATGTCGCCGGCCCAACGAGGGTTACAATTAAGGTGTCGGATGGCAATACAGCAAGTTAAGATAGTCAGTTGATCAAAAAACTTGGATCGATCATCTTTTCAGAATCAGATATATGACCAAGAACTTGTTTTATGACCTGGCACTCCCTGCGTGGGGGCGTATGTGTTTTGATGAAAGCCTTCGAATCATTAGATGAAGTGGACAAGTTTTCGTTTTCGTTGTATCTTCATTGCCCTGCTTTGCGCGTCGATTCGCCTCTCGGCCACTCCTGTATTCCCGATAAAGTCGGTATTCGCACTTCGGTCTTCGTGACACGCGCATAGTGTTATTGTGTCCACACTGTTGTCATGTAACACGGACCCGACCTCTTCTGAACGGGATTGATTCCGCACTGGTCAGGGAGCCTCCCCTTCAGCTAATCTGGTATCCACCCCCTGTTCCGCCCACATGGCACCCCGGTAGAGAGGCCATTGTCGTTTGGTAGAATCGGCAGATCACTGTTACTAACGAAGAATAGATCGACTAGCAAAGAACGTGGCATACCAAACACTCGGATTCCATTGCGCCTGAAAACTTGCGCGAGTAGCCTGGGCTTTTGGCACTCGGCGACTGTATGATTGTTCATTCAACCCATTTAGGCATTTACTCAAGCTGCATGCTCTGGCTCAGTAAAGCCGAAATGACGAATCATTTGTATTATCAAGTCTATGCTGAGCATATCTAAGGACAAGGTCTGGATGGAAAGTTACGAAAAGCTCGCATGCAGTGACTCAACGCTCCATGCTACTCTGCGACCGGGTTCTTGCTTGTTTCTGCATAGCTATCCCACTCTTTCCTTACGTTCAGGAGTCGTACCAACTCCTCATCTCGCTGCTTCACGAGTTGTTTGTAAGCCCTGTCATCCACGGCCTGCCTCGTTCCTGAGACCCATTTTTGCCTCAATTCTTCCGTGACTTGAGGATCTTCAGGTGCGTACCAAGACATCAGGGGACTCAGCAAATGATCCGCCATGTACTCGATTCCGCCTTTACCGCCTCCCAAGTGCATTAACATGTTCGGACCCATGACGCCCCATCGAAGACCGGGGCCATAACTCATTGCTTTGTCAATGTCCTCAACCCCGGCAACGTCCTCCTGCAGTAGGTACATGACCTCTCTCATCAAGGCTGCCTGGAGACGGTTGGCGACATGACCGACAACTTCCTTTTTAACGTGCACTGCCTTTTTCCCCATCTTTTCGTAAAACTCCATGGTGGTACTGGTAGTTTCAGATGATGTCTGCCCACCGGCGACTACCTCCACAAGGGGGATGAGGTGCGGAGGGTTGAAAGGATGGCCAACGACGCATCGTTCAGGCCGGCTTGGTTTATCCATTCCAAGCTGTATACTTGAACAAGTCAGGCCACTGCTGCTCGTAGCAATGATCGTGGTTGGCCGAACAATGTTTGCCATGTCGTTGAACAATTTCCGCTTGAAATCCAGTTTCTCCGGCCCGTTTTCTTGCACAAAATCGGCGTCCACGAGAGCCTCCGTCATGTTCGTCGTGAAGGAAATGTCTTCCGCTTTCGCTGTGGCATTCTTGACGAGACCCAGCGTCGAAAGAATAGGCAGGGCGTCAGTGACAAGGGATCGAAGGAACGTTTCGGCAGCAGGGTTGACATCGAAAGCCGATACTTGGAGGCCCTGTGCTAGGAAAAGAGCAGCCCAAGAGGCTCCAATAGAGCCACAACCAACAATGGCGACCTTTTGAATATGTGACATGTTCAAGGATAAGATAAAAATGAAGACAGGGGAGTTCTTTCGTAAAATTTAGAACGGCGTGGGTTTTGAAGAGGCTGCTATGTTGCAGTATCTTGGTTCAATGAGGGTTGGGTGTTACAGTTGATTAAGATTGCCAGATTGAGAGAAGCAGGATGGAGCAACGTAGTCGCCGGGGGGAAAGGTGAAGTCTGACATTTATGGTAAAAAGCAGCATAGCAAGCATCTATAGATTACCTGCAGTGGCTGATCTTGGAAACGAAGCCAGCATCATGAAATGAAGAGATCGGGTCATCGTGGGTACATACAACAAAGACCTGCTTGTCGGCGCCTCCGAGAGGGAGAAGAAGATCACCGGGCCGATGTTGGGGCTCAAAGTCTCGAACTCCGAAGAGTTGAACTGTGGAGAGCCCACAATGCCGACGAGTGGACACCGATGAAGATACCGTTTTACGGGGGAACGGGCATAATTCCGCGCGCGGAATCAGAGTGGCGGGTCCGCGACTCACGCGCCAGCTCCGGATCGCCAGAGCTTGGCTCTCCCGGCCCCCACGTTACTGCCGCTAAATATTCCAGAAAACTTCTATTCTGTTGAAATGGATTCCCACAAGTTGGACCATGACTCTGTTCCAAGAGAAACCAGGTGAACATCACACCGACACGGAATACGGAGTGGCCAATGCTGATCTCCTTGCAGACTCAACGTCATTTTCGCTACGTAAGCAAGTACCAGCCATTCTAATAATCCTGGCTTTTGCTCGAGACCTCGGCCTCGAACTCCGGCTTTCGCGTTGATATCGCACCCGGTATGTGGACCCCATTCCCGCAGCATTCGGCTCACACTGGGCATCGATATGAGTCCGAGCAACGTCATTTTTCTCCGTCTTCTTCCCCACAACCTCGGCCTCGTGCTGCATATTCCCGCAATGCTCTATGGGGCCAAATTTTCGACAGCGGTCACACCACGTCAGTTTGCGGTCCTTCCGAAATCCCTGGTGTTACCTTCCGCTCTACATCCGCGAGGTTCGTCGTTGGCAACCGCATATTCCTTGAGGCGAAGGCTGTTGAAGAACACCATATTTATATCTACCACCCTCCTGGCCAACCGACCTTTTCTCTTCATCAACACATTCACATACCACATTCGAAAGGCTCCATCCCGAACCAATACAACTCCATACACCCTGTTCAGACTCGTACACTCCATAATTATCAAATTTGCCCGTCACTATGCCATCAGAAAGGATTCCCGATGTTTACGGTCCGGGCACTTTCACAGACAAGACCTTCACTCCCGTACCCGAAGACACCGAGCGGATCTTTCGTCTCATAGCAAGCCAAACTCCGGGCTTCACTCAAGATGAGCGTCTTCTTTCCAGAGTCACATTTACCGGAGAGGCGTACCCCGTCATCCCCGGCCCCATCAAGGCAGTCTCCGTCGCTGCCGCCCTTCACGCCATGACCGGCGTGCTTGCAAATGAAATTCTAGCCATCCGCGGCGTCAATAAGGAGGACAGACTGATATCTGTCAACACCACACACGCAGCTATCTGGTTTGGCTGTATAGCCACTGCGTTCCTCGATGGTGTTGATGTTGTCAGCATGGTCAAGCAAGGCCAGCTCAAGGGCCTTCTGCCTGATTGGGAACGGGGTTGGACCGACACTCCCCTCAAATACCGTGCGACTGGCCTCTACCCAACCAGCAATCCTGAAGTATGGTATTCTCTTCACGGCAGCATGAACGCTGATCCAGTCCTGCGATCTATCGGCGTCGACCCATCAGCACCAATCAGCTCCAACGACGAGGCGGCCGCGCACATTGCTGAGCGCACCTTAAAGCTTAGCCCAGAGAAAATGGAGATCACAAATCTCTTAAATGGATTTTGCGGCAGTATCTGCTTCACTCCCAAGCAGTGGCGCGACTCTGAGATGGGACGGTCCCTTTCTAGGCACCCTCTAGTCAATGTAAAGAAGCAGGAGCAGACGATGCCCACACCGCCGATCGCGTTTCCGCCTCTCAGCCCCAACGACAAACGACCCTTGGCAGGGGTCAAGGTTGTGGAAATGACCCGGGTTATCGCTGGGCCAGAGATTGGGACCATTCTTGCTTCATACGGCGCAGATGTAATTCGCGTCAACCCTCCCCACCTTCCGGACATCAACATCATGCAGCTATCATTGAACGCTGGTAAGCGCACGATCGCCATCGATCTGCGAAAAGAGGAGGATGCTTCAATTCTCAAATCGCTCGTTTCCGACTGCGATGTGTTCATCCAGGGGTTCCGCATCAATAAGATGCCCAAATTTGGCCTTGGGCTGAATGATCTCTTGAAAATGGCTGGTGATCGTGGCCGAGGAATCGTGTATGTCACCGAGAACTGCTATGGACCGGACGGATATTATGCCGAGCGACCCGGCTGGCAACAAATCGCCGATGCTGCGGCTGGCTCTGCCTATGTTACAGGAAGATCTTTGGGACTTCCGAATAACGAGGCTGTTCTTCCTAGCTTGCCCATTTCCGACATGTCCACCGGTGTCTTGGGCGCGGTTGGCGCAATGCTAGGACTGAAGCGGCGCGCGACTGAGGGGGGAAGCTACTACTCACACGCCAGTCTCGTGGGCGTTAACGCCTATGCCCTCACCGAAGAGGTCGGCCTCTACCCTGAAAGCACTGTGGCAGAATGCAAGCAGCGCTTCCAATGGGGTGAAATGAGAGGTGCTCATCATGTTCTGGATCTTTTAGTGACTGTCTGGAATGGATGGACCAAAGTTCTTGGTGACCTTTTCAACCCTGAAGGCGAATGGTTCCAGAGCTTTGATTCAAGTGCCTTCGGCAGGAAGCGCTTGAGTATTTTGAGACCGGTGGTCAAGTTTGAGGGAGAAAAGGAAATATCCCCCGAATGGAAAACTCCGAGCGTGCCGTACGCCTTCGAGAAGGCCGAATACGTCAGGTTTCGTTGAACAAATGTTTGTAATAATCGCATCTCAAAATACTAGTAGATCCATACCACATATACGCAAACTCCTTGAAAAAGCAACGTGACACAGCTGATATAGCTGCTGTTTGAATACTGTTTGAAGGTCTTCGTATAGGTAGCGTAAGACCCTTCGAGAATTAAGAAGATATCGTCACATCCAAAGTTTCGAAAGTAAGGTTCGTAATGAGCCAGCTTACAGTTTACTTTCTCCCAAACGAAGAAGATCGTGGTTTTCAAGTGTGTCTTTCTCAAAGCCAAATAAGGACTGATTCAACATGGCAGCCGAGATTTCTCTAACCCCAATACTTGGTAATGACACAGTCCACCACAATGCACACGCAACAGCCATCTTCAGGAAGTCGTTAGGTGCTGTTATCAGTCCAGGTTTGACGATACAGGCATCGGGTTGTGATTCATGCTCTTTAGCGAGAGCCAAGACCGCAGCCTCAGTTTTTCCCTGTCATACAAACGCGTCAGAGATGAAGTAGAATGGATAAAGTGGTACATGTATCTCAATGTTACAAGTCAGAGCCAGTGTTGGAGTCTCACTGAGAATGGGGAGGGCGGGAATAATTGACACACCCGCAAAAGTGAGTACTCAGGCCTGAAGCTCGGAGTTTTGGACTGGTCTCTCTCTGTTTTGGCACCACTCATGTATATGAAACGGAATGGTGTGTTCTTGTCGTTATTAGCCGTCGAGGAGCCACGGGCTTCCAGCATTGCTCGTAACCCGGCGAGAGGTGATTCGTAACAAACTCGACAAATCTCATTCCAGTCATATAATGTCGATTTCGAGGGTGTGATAGCCACGGTCCTATTGCCCCACGGAAGATCACTTTTAGCACAAACTCCAATTCAAGTTTAGAGCATATAGAACAAGCGTACCAGATACATGCACCAGCAGTGGCGAACTCTGCTTTAGTTTCGACAGAGTACTGGTCGTAACCTTCAACAACAATATTTCTCAGCTTTGAGTGATCGGAATCGGGGCTGCATTCTGCTTGTATCCCCAGCGGTTGTCGAGTAAGAGCAATGACTGTCTTTATTGCAGGGATACGAAGACTCTGTTTAAGCAACTCCGTTCCTACGAAGCCGCTTGCACCAGATATGATGAGCTTCATATCGATCTAAGTGCTGGATTATGAAGCAAAAGCCGGTCCGTAAAGACGAATACGACCCGAGGGGAGCTGTCGGTGGCTTTTGACGGCTACAAGATGTCATTCACAAAAGACCATCATCATGACTTAGGATCCGACATAGAGGCGCAAGCGGACTTATATACTCGATGATCTCACTCGTCATGCCCAATCCTTTGCATGCCATCCTACACACCCTTTAATCAATGATGTTTGCAGGTTCAGAGTGGATACGAGTAAGCACTAAGATGAAATACGTTGTGGCGTAGTTGAACAGGGCAATGAAGTAGATTAGTGATTCCTGATACCGTCACAGGAAGAACTTTTGTACTTAGCTTTGTCACAGAGCTCCCCCCTCAAAAGGTGAATGTATCTTGCAACTTGAAGCAGGTACCGGATGGTGGTGATGGTGGGGTGCTTTTGTATGTAGGCATGTGTGAACTAGGTGTGTTATACATCAACTCGGTTGGTGGGGTTCTTGATTTCCTTGCGAAGCCTTGGGTCCAACTGAATATATAGGAAGTAAATATGGAAGTTCGAGACCTGGTTCTATATTGTGGTTCATCAACCCTCTACTAGATTGCTAACTGAAGTAAGAGGTAGGGGGCCGCTCAAAGCCTTGACTGAACTAGCAAAAGTTGAATCCCAGCAAATCGTTCGAGTGACAATTGTTAAGGGCATTCTGATACTCCGGGATTCCACCCATGAAACTCAAAGCTTCACGCTGTTTTCCAGGAATGTTGCCGCCCATGTACCAGGTTGTCTTGTTGTGTGATAAAAGCGTTGCGTTACAGAAGTCGGCTGTCAAACGTCCCCATTTCTGTTCGGCTGCGGGCTGAGGATCGATTCTTGATAGACCCCTGTCTCGTAGACGAACTAGTGTCTCGATGATCCAATCACTTTGTATTTCCGAGATGACTGGCCCGATAGCAGTTGCGGTCGGACTCTGTGGCCCGTACAGGAAGAACAGGTTCGGGAAACCCGAAGTCGTCATACCCAGGTATGTGCGAGTTCCAGTTTTCCACATTTCGTTCAGTGACCTGCCTTTCAGACCACGGAAGTTGACTCTGCTGAAGCTTCCCGTGATGGCGTCAAAGCCCGTTGCGAGGATCAAAGCGTCAAGCTCATGGACAGTGCCATCCTCCATCCTCACTTCATTTGTTAGAATCTGGTCTATGGGATTTTTCTTTAAGGCGACGAGGCTGACATTATTTCGGTTGAAAATCTCGTAATAGTTTTGCTCAAGGGATGGCCGTTTCGTGCTAAATGGGTAGGGCGG